AGTTGAATAGCATTGAGTTGTAGGTAACTCTGTTGGAGTATCTGCATGAGAACAACCTCCCATTTGTCGAGCCATCCAAAACTGCATCATCTCGTTTTATGCTCGGCGCTCGCACTTGCCACTGGATCACGCTCCACGACAGAGTTCTAGCCGTAGTACAAGTCGAAGAAAGCGACAGTAGAACGAAGTCAGATCCCGCATACTTTGAGGTGATTCACGGTGATGTGAACCCAATCAACACATTTTAGACTCTTCTGTTAGAATGTCTTGCATGTTCTACTGGAATCATCTATAGCGACTATGGTTTATCTATCACTTATCGGCGCTACTCTAGACCATCATCACACTTGAGCGAGCTAGTTCGCCTATCGATCGGTTGTTGCTGCCGCTAGGAAACTTGGAACTCTTCACGACGTGGCTCCACCACAGATACGAGTCAGGCGAAAGAGACGTTGTTGTTAATCGTACGGTTCACGAACGGATGATGATGATTCATCGAGAGCTCTACAGCCGATTCTGTCAACGAGCGCTTTTGCAGCTGCCAACCGAGCATCCGATGGCATAGTTTTGCAAGTTCATGATCAAATTTTTCGACAAGGAGAACAAAGAGTTTCAAGACCTACCAAAATCTTAACACCAGAGACATTGAAACGGGCATTCGTGATCGAGTGAGAAGTTTAAATCATTGACATACATAATGTGCGATGGGCACGTCACGCATTTTGTCGAATGTGTTAGCTGATTTGTTGATATGAAATGTTCAATAATATTATTCATAAAATCGACCAACAATTTACAATGAATTCGAGATATCAATTGAGAATGGCCGAATAATCGAAATGTTGGTAAAGGAAAGTAGGAACTATGATGTTCCAGAGATAATGTTACTGTTTCTGTTGGTAATAAAACGTGCCATGATGAGCTTAATGGTTCATTTAGGAAACTTTTGTCGATTTCGAACAAAATTGCTACATTTTGGGCATCGAAATACAGTACTGGCCAAAAATATGAAACCACTTTATTCTTGGTTTTTTCTATAATGCTAAATAGTTAGTTCAAATCCAAACAGTGATTTTGATACCTAATGAAGTTTCCTATTTAACGCACTATATAGCAGAGTTCCATCATGTTTTATTGATGCAACTCTGCTATAAAGTGCATTAAATAGGAAACTTCATTGGCTATCAAAATCACTATTTGAATTTGAGCTAATTGTTTAGTGTTATAGAAAAAACCAAGGATAAAATGGTTTTATATTTTTTGGCCAGTACTGTAGAGAGAAAGAAAATCGCTTAGTACTAGTTTTTTGAATAGTTAATTGTAAATTTGAGGCAGAACGGTTTTTCAGATTCTGTAGTACTGGACAACGTTAAATATAGTTCGTAAGGATTGAAACGACCGGTAATGTATTCTTTGAGTATTTAAAAAAAAGGAAATATTAAACGAAGACAAAACAGATTTTAAAAAGAGGTTTTTTTCAAATGAACATATTCATCTTCTTAAAAATAAGAATTTGTTTTTCAAGATAAATCATCTAATTTATCGATATTTTAACTATTTTATCAACAGTTTTATAATTAAAATATTAATTAAATATTTATTGTAAACTTCATTTGTTCCATATATTATAAACAAAATAAGAAAAGTAGTAGTTTATAGGACTGTTAGCAAAGATGATTGTGTTGTGAGAGAAGATGAAAGGATTGATCAATTGACACTCAAAAGAATCACCCCATAGAATTTTTTCGTACTTCTAGGAATAAAACTCTATCATTGCGCAGAAACTGAACAATATATATCGTTCATCGATCAAATTTCTTTTTCGTTTAATTCCAAGGATTTTATATTCTTCTTTTTTTCTTCTGAATGAAGTTTAAAATAAACTGTCCACCTTTTTCTTTGTAGATTTTAAACAACATTGATTGACAGCAGAAATTTTCGACTTCTGTGAGTTCAGTTCCTTTTGCCATATGCATAAAGATCTATTCGAGTTAACTATATTCTACTAGGATAGCGACTGATGGAGAAAAAACCAGTGCCATTTATTTGTGATTGTCAAGAAATCTGTTACGATTTCGAGAGTTTCGTTCACCATCAGGTCAGTGTTCTTGATTTTCTATTGAAATTGAAGCTTCATGTTGTGAACTGTGATCTTTGCAGAGAACAAATTGTCGATATCGCCGAGTCAAATGTCCCTTGTGTAATGAAGGTTTTCCATCATCAGAGACAATGAACACTCATCTGCTAGCGTGTGGTAACAAAACTTTTCAATGTTCACGTTGTCAAAAGTTCATACAACGAACAATATTTGCCCGGCATCTCGAAAATCAATGTGCTGATGTCGCTGAATCTACAGTTCCTTCTAGCCGATCCAATGAACAATCAAATCAGAGAACTTCACAAATCAGTGTCAACCAAAAGAATGATGTCGAAAAAGGTGAGACAAAACGAAGTGAAGAATTTAAGATGAATTATATAGTCATTGAACAGTACGAATTGGTTAATTTATAAATCGAAAATTTAAAACTGTCATAAACATTTACTGTATTGAAATCTCATAGTGTTTTCTAAGTTAAAAAATTTTCATGTTCGTCGACATAACTTCTAGTAAAAGACACAAACTGTGGTCAATCATTCATTCTTGACGATTTTCACGACATCGAATGGTCCTTCCATATATTGGTTCAAGTAATCAATACGTAATGTTGTTTACCTATATTCTATAAAATAATTCGCTGCTATGACTGAGTGTTTACATTGTTTGGTACATACCCAAAAGTACTGTGTTCGAACATCATCCAACCAGAGGAAAATTTTCGAGAACACGTTTACACGCGCAAAGAGAAGAGAAATAGTGATCATTTTTTCCATATTCCAGAACTATGATTGTAATCATGATAATGCTTTATGGATATGAGAAAAATGAGCACTTTTCTCTTCTTTTTATGCGTTTAAACGTGTTTTCAAAAACTTTTGTCTGCTTAGGTAACAGTACCAGACATAAAATGATCCTGCCACAAGTCACTAACGTGTTGACATATATATAAGGTCCTTGTAACTGCAATGTGGTCAGTTAGTATATACGAGGAGCTTAAGAAACTATGCGGAAGGATAGTTCCTCATTACGATTCTATCGTTCTCCCAATATTTACCGAGTTCAGTGAATAGGATTTCAGAATCAGAATATTTATTAACTAGAAAACATACATGCATTATAATTTACTGTGCGCAAAGGATGTCGTCAGTGTCCATTAGCCTTCATTAAAAACCGTTTCTACTTCAGAGGAAAACATTTTCTCATTCATGACGTATTTTTTTCTTGAAAAGTTAAACGAATCTACGGTGCAAAAGTAATTGCCGAAATCTCGAATCATAGTTCTCAGTCTAGAAGCATCGTAGAATGGTAATTTTTTTAATTAAGAAGAGCAATATCTGAGCTTCATATTTCACACCAGTCCTATTTTTCAGAACAATTCTAAGGAAGATGATACACCAAAAATCAAGCACCTCTTAAAAAAGGTTCTGACATCATTTTTGCAACTTGAAAGGTGTATTTTTCAATTACTTCGGGCTACATAGACCAAATTTTAACCTAAAATACACTAAAATATAGCGCATCAAATACCCTATTGGAACAACCTTGTTAAAACTTTTGAATGTATTTTCAATTCCTTAATCGAAAATATGTGAAAATTCAAATTTTTATTATTTTCCAATAATTATCAACTATGCATTAATTCAATTCGCTGTGCATTATTTCTTCGAAATATGTAAGATCATGGAAAATTTGCAGAAGAAAGTAATTCAATATGTAGTTTTTGCCGTTGCAAAATAACTAGCTGATGAGAAAGATAAAAATTAGGTCTCTTTCACGAAAAGCAACATTTTCATATTAAAACTGAGCGCAAATTTAATTTCCAATGCACCATTGAAAAGAGGGCTCTTTATGCTTCGAAAAATATCATTCAATGCGTTTCTTTCGTTCTCTTCTGATATTAAAACATTCAATACAAATAAAAAATAATGTTGCTCATTGAAAAGTTGTAAGAGCTTTTTTTTGTAGAGGTGCTTGATTTTTGGTCTATCATATTCCTTAGAATTGTTCTGGAAAATAGGACTGGTACGAAATTTGAAGCTCAGATATTGCTCTTCTTAGTTAAAAGAAGTTACTCTTCTACAATGTTCCTGGACCGAAAACTATGGTTCGAGATTTCGGCAATTACTTTTGCGCTGTAGGTTACTTCCATTTTGTTATGCTGTCCATGTAACCCACTGCGTTCCAATTGGTACACAATGTTGTTTTTTTTCTCTTCTCTCATTTGTTGTTCGATTCGATTCGGTTCATATTTTCAACATAGTGTTCCCTCAGCCGAATAAACGAAAAAGAATAGGCCATTGCAGAGAACAACATCGCATCTGTTGCGTTATGCTCCATGAGATATGGTACGCACTGCGAAAGCAATCAGAGCAAGAAACATATATCGATGTTGAAAAAAGCGTCTGATGTATAAGCACGTTCGAAAAAATATTTTCGATTCAATTTCGATTCATTCCCAGTGTCACATCAAATTTCAATATTTTGATGCGTGGGCTCAGCTTTAGAGTTATAGCAAGCGAGGGCCGGGAGAGGAGTCATCCCCCAATCTCTTCAGCGGATACCCCTTCAATCTTGAAAAATGCATCATTCTTCCTAGCGAAGTTTCAACATTTATCGTCACTCTCCCCAATTCTGACCTCTTTGCGACGGCCCTGCCCAGGTTTTCTGAAGAAGAAAGAAAGAGAAACATTCAAGTATTTATTTGTTACAAAACGGAGCTATATATTCAAATGTGAACATTAATTCCAGAATCATGTATCATCCAAAAACAGCAGTCAATGCAAAATAAAAACAATATTAGTCTTTTTTAGCCTTGCCATCTATCGAATTTGCTCATACGATTGTTACAACAGAAGACGGTTTCGATACACTTTTCACTAATGTTGCTCGACACTTGATTAGAATGCAAGATGGTAGACATGAAGAATGGGTTTTATTTCGTCATGGTTCATTGTACATTCAAACAATGCCGAATAATGAAGAAACATCACACGATGAATTAATCAATAAAGCTAAAAATAGTTTATCACAAGTTATTGTTGGTCCTGGAAGTCCCTATGGTGATACAACTGTTTGTAGATTTAATTATGAAAATGCTCAAATGTATTACAGTTATATAGGAACATTTGATGGAATAACTATGATTCATCCATCTGAACAAGTTAAGAATGATATGATCGTAATAAGTCTTGCACGAAGAAATATACTTAATGATAAACAAAATCCAATTGTTGTTACAACTGGTAATACTAAACAAACTTGAATACAAATTAGAAAAAAAAACATACTCACATACAAGAAAACTAGTTACTTTATTGCTGATTATTAATATTGCTCTTTTTTTCTCTTTAAGAGAGCATCCATGGAAGAACCGAGGATCGCTCCATTATACGAGATACTGCAAAAAAATTATATTTTCGATGTTTTTATGTGCACTTAAAAGGCCATAGTTTGAAACGACAAAACCCAAATTTTTAGCTCATTTGAATGTATTATAGCAAAGTTAGCCAGAACCAACTTAGCGCACTAGCAACTTTCTGTCAAGAAAATAGTCAAAATTGTCCCATAAATGTGTATCATGATTATGTTTCAACAAGTCAGGAAATGTTTGTGGTACAATAAACTAAAAGTAGAGTATTAAAAGCTGAGAAGAATGAGCTATCTCAATTGTTGTATATTATCTGTGCATGGAATTCAGGACGTCAACATGATCGAAAAACGTCATAATTTATGAGTCCATGACCAGGTGTGGGTGGGTCTGGGTGAATGTGGGTGGATGTGGCAGGGTGCGGGTATGGGTGTGGGTGGGTGAATGTGGGTGTGGGTGTGGATGTGGGTGTGGGTGTGGATGTGGGTGTGGGTGTGGGTGGGTGTGGAGGTGGGGGTGGGTGTGGATGTGGGTGTGGGTGTGGGTGTGGGTGTGGGTGGGTGTGGATGTGGGTGTGGGTGTGGATGTGGGTGTGGGTGTGGGTGGGTGTGGATGTGGTTTTAATAAATACCAACACCCACACACACACCCCACACCCACACCCTTATCCAAATTTTCAAGTAAACGATTAATAGTGTCTTCATGTACTTGAATTTTTGTTGCTTTTCCGTTGTCCCTTATGTGTTCTAGATCATCGTTAAGTATGTTAATTAATTGTGATTCAGTGATAACCAAACGATAATTTACTGAAATGCCTAATGGTGTTGGACTATTGCCTCGATGAAAGCTAATAAATGAGACGATTCGTGGAAAAGAACAAATTAGTGGAATGATGTCACTTGTAAACTTCAATGAGGCAATCAGAACCACATTCCCCTTATCACAAGAACGAATGAGATTCATACAGTCAGTAACGGCATTAGATATCGATGACTTTTGGACTTTATTCTCAAAGTCCCTCATGATTGATGCTAACTCCAGTCGATCTGAAGGTTCAAGAAGCCATACCAATGTCACACCATTCTTTGAATTGTTGTCTTCTATGCTTGAGGGAGCAATCTGCATCTTTTTCCTGAAACCACCGATACCCATATATGTTTCAATGGAAATTACTATGTCAAAAAAGACGCTGAGAAATCTTCGAATGAATAGTATGAAAACTTTTCCGTGCTTTTATATTCCTACTTCAGGAAATTTTTCTCTGTTAATCCTGACACGAACACCTTTCGGGCTATCTTGAGGGTGTGGATCAGGATGATGGAACACGCACACACATTCACACCAATACCCACATCCACATCCACACCAACACCCACACCCACACACCCACACCCACACCCACACCCACACCCCACACCCCACCCCCACCG